CTATCTATCTATCTATCTATCAAACTATCTATCTATCTATCTATCTATATATCTATCTATCTATCTATCTACAAAAACATACACACCCCACACATACACACACACACACACACACACACACACACACACACATACACACGTACATACACAAACTCCCGTTCACGTACGTGCATTCAGCCATAGGCGCTCGCGCGTATACGCTCAGACATTCGCACTGGTAACAGAGGGACAGCACAGGGTCAGGGGAGAGAGGGAGAGAATGGGGAAAAGATAGCTTAAAAGAGAGAAAGAGAGAAGGTATTATATTAAAGACCACAAGTCGCGATCGACATCTATACAAGCCTATTTTATACCACAACACTGAGTGGACCACAATAGTAAAAAGAGAATGAGACAGAAAGAGAAAGTAAGCATATTATCCATTTACATTATTATATTTCCTTACCTGTGTTCGTTCCTGGAGAGAAAAAAGGAATAAGAGAAGCTATATAAAGGTTTAATGCATGGACGAAGGTAATGAGAGAATAATATTGAGACATGTTCATGTCCGCAGAGCGATCATGCGTGTATCCCTGGGGCTTTGGCTCTCCAAGGACGAATATTATCAATTCCTCCTTTGGGGCCCTTTCCTCTGCAGTGAGGAATTCATGTGTTGAAAACTTCACCTGCACCTTTGAAAAGAACTAACGTTTATCCATACTATTTAAACCTATTTAATCAATTTGCATCCATCCCTAAAAGTTCTCAGATTCACTCAACCGATTTAGCTGGCAGACTGAGAAGCGATGAAACGAGAAAACTCCATTGTCGCCCTCTGTTGGCTGTTGTTTTTGGCACATTTGGAACAACGGGTGATTTCTATGTTCACGAGCAGTCTAAACAACATTCTTCTGTCTTCAATCTCTTCTTTTTAGGAGCTCGGTGCTTCAGTTTTCGATTTTCCTGTCTTCGAACAAGAGGGGTGGTAGTTTCTTTGAAGGTGACATTGTAGATTTTGTTGAAGTAAGGAGCAGCTTCACTTAGTGTAAAAAGAACGTTTTTTCTTTGAAGTCATGAGCGCTTCCCGAAATATAGCTTAATTATTCTGACATTTCGAGCTTCAAAGATGATTTTTAAAACCCCTTTCCCGTTTTCAAATCGTACAGACAATGCATAGTAGATTTTTCGGCAACCAAACGAGATAGGTTTGGTATTATGAATAATTCTTTTAAGGGTCGACTCGTTTCACTATCATATGGCAACGAGTGCTGTTAGCATAAGTCTCAGATCTAGAAATGACTAATCCGTGTGGGTTGCTGAAGGATCTGCGTTGTAATCAAAGAAACCGCATCATCACCTTCTATGTTCTTTTCCAAACGCATTTTCATAAAGATATTGCCGAAAAGGGTTTATTCACAAAAAAGTAAATTTTCAGTTTTCAAGGACAATCAAGCTTTGGAGTCACTTAATTTCCGCGGCCATTTTCTCGCTAATTTTACCTCTCACACTAAGCGACCCCCACCTTTTTCAATCGCAAATATCTCGACTTTTGTACAAGGTTAATGGTTATCTTTCATCAAGAACTAGACAAGTAAACAAGCTTTAAGATGATTCCGATAACTCCTCATACACAAAAACTGACGAGCGCCTGATTCCTCCGCGTCGTGACACATTTTTCTCTGATTCTGAAAACGGCCGGTTGGCAAAACCACTGTGTATCTCGTAGTCAACTCTGTATTCAGTAGGATTAAAGTTAAATAAACGTACGGTCATAAAACATTTTTCAATAGTCACAACTACCAGTCATTGACTGTAATTATGTATTTGAGACCACGCATTGTTCCCGACTCCACGTGCCACTCGGTGGGAAATCAGTGTTCTGCATCAGTGCCCGGCGTCAGTGCTGTGTTCCTGGCGTGTTCCTTCGGCTGTGATCTCTGGACGGCACTTGTTATTTTCAGGTGTCAAAGTGGCCTTGCTTGGGCCTACTTTTCTTCCAATGTAGAACGTTTAGGAAAGAAAATATTATTTTCCTATCTGTTTTAAAAACATTTATGAAATCAAGAGCACCGGAGTTCAAGAGGGTTAATAGAAATACACTGTTTAACTTCGCAAACTATGTAATTCTGAGTAGATGAGGTTTAAAATGTATAAGAAATTACCAGAGATTATATTTATTTGAAAGCTTAACTGAGGTGATGTTTTTTCGCTTTTATTTAGCACACATGTGGATAAAATATGTCTGTATGGCATCAAAGAACTTCAAGGGCATCTATTACGTCACGTTGCTCTTGTTTATTGCCATCCTTGCTCTGAAACTTCAGAATGATACATCCATACGAATAAGTTAAAATTGATGTTTTATTGTGATTCATACTGTATGTTAAGTCATTAAACAAACCTTAACCAAGAACAAAACTTGGAGACTTTTCAAAATGTTCATTGTAGTCACAGAGCTTTATTATTAGAATATTGCATGCCATTAGCATTACTTCTATTTTTATCTTTTGGTTTTGTCGCACTCAAGTGAAAGAGATCAGTGAACTCAAAGTGAAAAGCAAGCAAATCAATACCCATACTATGTCGATATATTCGCGTCTACGATTTCTGCCGTGAACAAACGATCCATTACACCACACGTGCCTGAGAACTTTTGTCCCAGCTCAAAAGAGAACTCAATGATCAAGACATTCGTTTATCCCACTAAAAACGTGTCAATTCGATGAACAAAGCTGGACAACACGGCATTCCAAAGAACGACAAAAACAAGTTTTCAATACAGGACAGCTTCGTTGAGCAAGTAGAGAACCAGAATGAATAACAGCACTTGCCTTTATACCCACAGCCACTACCCCTCCCCCCCACACACACACACATTTTTCCCCACTACACATGCTTTCTCTTCCTCCTCACTGGGCCAAAGATCGTCCCTTTCCCCCTTTCAAAAGCTACTTTTGCGTACTCCCAACTCCCTAGAATCGTATACTTATCGAGCAACTATCAACCCCTTCTCCCCTCCCCCACCCATTCCCAACCAACTTTAACTGTGGGAAATACCAATGACTATTCTTCTTTTGTACACAGCCACGTCTGCTATCCAAGTTTTTATCCGCTCAAACCCCCTCTAACTCCGTTCTTATTTAACTTTAAAAAAGAAAATTAACGTAACTTAAAACTGAGTAGAAATGAATGATCCAATCACAAAACATTTTAGTTTGATTAAAGATTAGATGGATTTGCAGAGCTTTTATATATTTTTGTTATGACTGTAAACAACCGATTGATTATTGAGCCAGCAGAACTGGCGTGCCGTTTACATAATATACTAAGTGTTAACGTATAACTTCAGACCCTGAATTATATCCTGCCAAGGTAAAGAGTATCCTTTCAAATCGATTTCTTCCGATACAAAAAGGACTCTTATATGACCATAATCTGATATTCATATTGATGCAAGTGTCGTTCTTGCTTTGAATATCTCGCTCAGTGCTGGACGCTCTTGCATCAAGGCCATTCGATTGAGGTTTTATAAGATGGGAGGGTAAAAAGTCTGATATTTTTCAGATCTGCATGATAGGGTCGGTACAGAAAATCAGCTGGCCAGAGAACGCTTTTACTAACGGAAGCCTTGTGCAAGAAAACATATTTCACCTCTGATGACGCTTTTCGAAACAAGATATGCTTTACAAGCTAGAAGTCCAGATTTATCAAGTGTTTCCAAAAGTCAAATATGCACTTTTATTATTATTATTATTATTATTATTATTATTA